CCAGTGGCCATTTTGAAACCACTGATCAGCTGTTTAAAAATCATTTTGCAAAGAATCGGTTCCCAAAGCAGGGAAGCAATCATCGCAAAGCGAAATTCCCCTATTTAGACCATCGTTTTGCGATCGCAAAAAAGCGGATTCATCGTAGTGCAGGGCACTCGTAAAGCAAGGCACCACTGTATTCATATTCATTGATCCATTAAACTTGATGAATAATGGATCAAAACAAATTGCCATTTTTTAAAATTTGTCCCCATCTCTAGTGTCAACCCATTTTCAACCTTGACTTTTTGCAGTAACAAGTGTAGAGCAGGAAACTAAGGATGCGGTTACATATCGAAATACTCCTGGGTTTTGCAGTGGGTTTAGTACACTTGAAATATCTGTCTACACTACATACAACTGAGTATGCTTTTTTGCCTGGGAAGCATGTTTTTTGTTCAAAAAGTGAGCTTTTTAAGCATCAGCTAGGGGCTTATACTCAATTATGAATGTGATTTATTTTTAATTGTTTTTGCATGTGTGCTAGCCTGTGTTGCAGTAAACTGTGTCTGTGGGGTTTGTCAAATATGGGATTGGGTACCAGGATCATGGGTTCCCGGGATTTATTTTTAACTGTTTTTGCATGTGTGCTAGCCTATGTTGCAGTAAACTGTGTCTATGGGGTTTGTCAAATATGGGACTGGGTACCAGGATCATGGGTTCCCGGACTGCAGTTTTTTGGGAGGAACATAAAACAAATATTAAAAGTCACACCACAGCAGAAGAACATGGCTTTTGTCTCTAACACTCACATTACCTAAGCACAGGGACTGAGTTGGCAGTGGCAGCAAGTGGCTGTGAGAGGCAGTCAGCATGAATGCAGGTGGGCGCAGGACAAAAAACTAAAAAATGGCTGCAGGATGATGTGCCAGCAATCAGCGCGTCTCCCTGCAGCTATGGCAGTGTGGGGTTTTATTTTAGTTTTGTGATGCAGACATTTCACTCCGGGGGATGCATAGCGTCGGAAGTGCAAAACACAGGAAACTGGAGCCCCGATTTCAAAATGCTTTTAAAAATCATTTGTAAGATTGAGAAGGTTACTCATCTTACAACTTTGCGATCAAAAATTGTCCGAAGAGGACACACATGCTGATCCAAAAACCACATGACTACCACTTGACTTTAAACTGATTTCAAACACCCCACCCCAGCTCCTGATTTATTTCAACTGTCTTCTCCACAACTGACCTGCTGCAACTTCCTTCAGCAGATGCAGAAGCAAAAGGCCAGAGAAAGGACCCCAAAGTACAGTACCTCTTACAGTAGGAATGTGACCACCCCAAGAAATGACTCCAGTTCTGAACAAAGGCCAGCACAGACATAATATCAGGGATTGCATTGTACTCTGATCCACATTCTGTGGAATGGCTGAACAACAAACACAGGACTGATCAATGCAGACTGCCATGAGTGAGCTAGATATTATTTATTTGTTGCATTTACATCATGCCTTTCCTCTGCAGAGCTCAGAGTTCACTGTACAGTGGTGCCTCGCTTAGCGATTGCCTCCTTTAATGATGTATTCGCTAAGCGATGAGGTTTTTGGAGTGATCTTGCGCTCCGTTTAGCGATGTTTCCAATGGGGAAATTTCGCATAGCAATGTTCGGGACCTAGCTTCGCTT